CTATTCTTATAGGTGGAAAATATCAGAATGTTCTTTCTGATTTGTTGAGGAATACGACAGGAGTCTGAGTGTCAACCCGTCCACGATAAACGTTTGCGTCTTCACAAAGATGGAAGTAAGACTACCTAAAATAAACAACATCCAGCTAACAGTAATTAAGGTCATTAGGTGTTATGCTGGACAATAAAATGATATGGAATAAACATGTGAAGTACGCAACTAATAAAGCACTAAAATGCCTTTAGGCATGTAAGATTACTTTTGGGAAGGCATGGGGACATAAACTTAAACTTAATCCTGGGGGTGGGTCACAACAGGATACAATTGGAAAAATTACAGAAATTAGCCTGTTTAATGATAACAGGTGCAATGAAAACTACTCCGACTGCAGCCATGGAAGTAATGTTAGGTCTATTACCTCTGCAATTAGAGATTAAAAAGCAGGCCTTGAAAAATTTTTACAGGCTTCAAAAATTAAACTTATGTTCAAAGATAAGCACCCTGGAGGGAGAGTGCAAAATAATTAAAAAAATTGAGGTAGTCAGATTGCTTACAATGCATTCTGACACTCAGACTAGAGAATTTCTTACAAAGATATATAATGTAAAAATAGACAGCTCAGGAGAACACAAATCCATTAATGGGATTAATTGTTATTGTTGGATTTACATTAACAATTTTTATAATTTATATTTGCCTTGCACAAATAACAACGGGGCCCCCCTGTCTCATCCTACCCCCTCTCTAAGACGTCCTAATCTGCGAGCAAAGGACAGATGCTTGACCATGAAGCACGTATACACAGCTCTCAGTCTAACTCTACCGAATTCACGGCCAACGGCTGACACAGACGTTCCGTTGCCTCCAGAGGCTTCTAAATCATAAAAGTCCATCTTCCGGAAGCGAATACTCGAAGCATTCCTCGTACCTCATGGCCGTGGGTGAGAGCATCGAGAGCTTCCGCACATTGGCTCTGGAAAACGAAGGAGACGTAATCATGTCCACCTTAGCTCACAGCCCTTCGGCTACACGTTACGGCCCTTTGGCCACATGATAATTTGCGGCGAGAGAACTTGAGACGGCTTGGGAGAGTAGCGGTGTCAGGGAGAGGCAACGGACCACAGGAGCGAGTTCGGCCCGGCCCCTCATCAAATTGTATGTTAAGATTGCCATAATTAATTAACCCATTAAAACTTATTGCCCCTTCCGGGACATTAATTGGAAGTTATAATAAAAGAAAATTAGCAAAATAAGTAGTGACGTCATTCACAGATATTCCTCCATCGAACTTTTCATTTTTTTATTTCTTAGAATTTATTTATTAGAAGAACAGGGCTCCCGGTCATATAGCATGTACCGGGCCCCCAAATATTGTAAATATGGTGCCCTGGATGAGGAATATCTGTGAATGAAAATATTGTTAACATACTCTCATCATTTTAATAGCTTAATTTTGTTTGATGCTTCAATTTAAGTCTTAGTATATCTCGGTTAATTTTTTTTTATGTTGAATTAATTAATAGCTTTCATTATTAGAGGCATTTATTAAGGCCAATGTTGCACTTAATTAACATAATATTAAACAGCTTGAGCAGCCAGCAGGTAATATTTCTCATATTTCTCTAACATTTGAAGCAACATTAACGGCTGCCTAGTTCTATTAAGCACAACAGTTATGCTTATTTCTGCCTCTGTTTCTAATGTTTCCTCTCTATACGTATTTTAAGTCTCCAGCATCCAAACAATTTTTTTTTATATCGGTTCATATACGTACACAATAATATACGTGCAGAATATTACAACATATAACTGTACTCATTAAAATTGTTGAATTTACGTACCTATATAAAAGTTGATTGTAACTTTATTTATAGATATTTTAATTATTAAAATATTTCTCATATTTTATTACTGTTAAGTGTGTGCATGTTTTTCACTTTCTATTTCATGTTCTTAATTTTTATATATGTTTATTGAATTACTTCTCACATGTTTAATTTATTGTTAACATATTTATTTAATTATTTATACTTCACCACTTTAAATGCATGAATATTTACTTGGTTATTTAAATTTCATTCTTTTATATGCATAAATATTTTCTTTAATTGTTTTATATTTAGTTATCCGATAATTTATTGTATCTTGCATTCACATTTGATTATTTAAATATCTTTCTTAAATCTTTCACAATTTTGTTAAATGTATTCAGTAATTATCTTCTCAAATTATAAATTCACTCGGAACCATGGATGGCGGTAACGAACAAGTGAACGACTTTTCCGTCCACAGTGACACACATGAATGTAAGCTTCGCCATCTCAAGCGCGTTCTCAACAAATTATTTATCCAAGCCGTGGATATCGGGGACTTCTTCTAATACAAAGTAATTTACGAGGAGACAAAACAAATGTGGGTTAAGTTTGAAAACATATAGGAGAAATTAGATGCGCTCTACGCGTCTCAGGGTGCTTCAGCTTACCCGCCCGACTTGGAAACATGCTACGACGCCATTCAGGGGGGAACGGAAAATAGAGGCAGGATATCAAAGGTTAAGCTCGCATTGTGCCGCGGTAGATAATAATGCTCAGTCTGGCTCAACACCTACGTGTCCCTAATCCACGATGATACCCACTTGATGTAAAATGCATTACTTCAAAACTGCGCTTATCGGCGAACCGGCGTCGCTTCTCTCGTTTTCATTCGATTCCGGCTCATACCAGCTGGCCTGGGACGCTCTCATGCGAGAGTATGACAACCTGCGCGTTCTCACGTTCCGTTGCCTCCAGAGGCTTCTAAATCATAAAAGTCCATCTTCCGGAAGCGAATACTCGAAGCATTCCTTGTACCTCATGGCCGTGGGTGAGAGCATCGAGAGCTTCCGCGCATTGGCTCTGGAAAACGAAGGAGACGTAATCATGTCCACCTTAGCTCTCCTCGTGTTGGACCCAGCCACTAGATGGCAATTCGAACTCTAGATGTGATCAGTGAGTTCTCTACTGGGGATGAAGTCATCGCTTTTGTGAGGCATCGCATGATATCCTCCAACATGGCCCGCGAATTTGAGACGTTATCTACCGACGCGTCACGCGTCTAAGCCACGGACAAGAGAAGAACCAGTGTGACCTTAATTACCGCCAAAGCGGATGTTCTTCCACCTCGTTCAAGCATTCGTCATCACCTAAACTGAAGGCTTCAAACAAGGATCTGAAGATTGGGTCCATCCACCGTTGATCACTGGAGGAGTAAATCCGTCTCGCCCAATAAGGATCCATGTCCTCATTGCAGGAGGAAGCATCATCTGGCACGGTGTTTTACATTTCTTGCTCTGTCAACCGGGGAGCGCTGCGAATTTATACTATCGAACAGACTCTGTTATAACTGTCTGGTGGCAGTCATAAATAGACTAAATAGTGGCAAAACTATTTTATTAAAAGCCAACGTTTTGACCCGACTTTGCAGGTCTTCTTCAGGGCTGAAACGGACAAGATACAAAAGGATATTGAAAATTGTGGAAGTTACATAATATTTAGACAAAAAATTATAAACAATGTGAATAAACTTATTAAAGTTATAAGCAGTAAGTTCATTAAAATATAAAAAGAGTAAGCTAAGTAACAAGATCCTAAACTGAAGTAAATAGATGGTAACAATTGTTGTGGTATAATATATAATATAATATATGCAATCGTGTATATACTCCTAGAGATCTACAGGAGAGATTGGAAGAAAAAGAAAAATGACATAATATGAAATAATGGACATAAAGGCCCCGAACAAGGCTATTTACATAAGATTATATTATTTTATTTTTTTAACAATAAACATTCTATCAGGCTATCTATATAATTAAAATACTCCAATTATTACTTCAAATGACATTTTTTTAGAAACCTGCCCCTCCTATAGCTCATGAAGAGTCATGAATTTAGTTCTTGGTGAGAACGAACTGTTTCTTAACTAATGGTTGTACAAGGATGTCATTCGACAAGTATCACACTCTATCACCAAATTTTTTCCCCTTTGGTACATTTTTTTTCCCCATACCCAGTTGGTACATGCCACAGGCTAATCTGCAGGGGGGATCTTTTGGGCTGAAGCCCCCCCCCCAAAAAATGGTAAAATATAACCATGTTTTAGAGAAAAAAGTATTAAAAACTATCTCTTAAAGTATTCATGTTCGTGTAATTAAATTTAATAGGACTTCAAGAACCACATTAACACTATTTCATATAGGTAGTTAATTTATTTATTTTTTTCAAATTAATTATCGTTTTATATATATATATATATATATATATATATATATATATATATATGAAAAAAATCTTTCGGGCTGATGTCCCGCCCCAAAATTAAATCCTCAATCCGCTAGTGGTACGTGCACAGTATAGCCTCAAAAGGGTCTCCTGACCTGACCCATGTCAATCCACATCTTATATAACAGAATAAATAATTATCTACCACAGCTGGATTTGAACCCAGGCCTGTACCTTATCCATTGAGCTGCCCTACTCAAAAAATTTACTTTAAAATGTTTAGCACATAATAATGTTACTCATTTCCTTATTTATCTGATCACATGTTGAACTGTTTTCTGGATTCATTTCTTCTTTCTGCTCTGAATAGTAGATTATACTAATTCAGAAGTTTTGTGAATTCTATTCTTTATGTTCCCAAATCGCTAGCTTCTTCTTTTCTTATTCTGTGATACTGAATTTTTTTTAACTTTGCGAAATTCTGAGGCACTGCTATATCACAATCTAGATTTTAATTCTAAATGGAATCTGTTTGTTAAATTAATGTATCATAGATAAAATTACAATAAAGCCTCAAAAAAAATTTGTTTTCTCTAATACTGTTCTTTTACATAAGTTTTTATTTAATTCTCAATTTGCATAGTCTTATAATTAACTTTTTTAGATGTATTATATGTTATTTGTTTGAAAAAAATTATTCAGCATAAAAAGTTTTGACAAATACTTATTTTTTTATTTTAGGCATATCTTGGATTAGTCTTCATGAACATGCTATCAGGGAAATGTTGCGTTACATGAAATATGAACTCAATTTGCTGAACTTGGAAATTGATGACATGATAGAGGTATTATTTTAATTTAATAATGAGTAGACACCAAATTTTCGTTCTGTAAAACTCAAAATCAGTCAAAATGAAAACTATGTAAATAACTTCTTAAACATGCAAAAGTCATAGTTATTGTTCAGATTATACTACATTGAACACTTATCTAACGTTTTTCAAAGTTACCTCTGAATTAAAATGATCTATAGTAACATAACAAAAATACAAATTCTAATTCAGAAATAAATTACTATTAACCTAAATGCAAATAAAGAAGAAATTTAACAACAGAATTATAAGGGAAAAAATATAAAATTAAAAATAATAAATATTTACATAACTACCTACATCTTCCATACACAGGTGGATCTATGGAGGAAGGGGAAGTGGGAATGGGCTTTCAGACTGAAATTCCCCCAAAATGGTAAAATATAACCATAACCATGTCTTATTAAAAAAAATATTAAGAAATTATCTCTAAAAGTATTATTGTTCGTGTAATTATATTTAAAGGGACTTCAAGAACCACTTAAACACCATTTCTTCTTTCTTTTTCTTCCAAAGTAATTATTTATTTATATATATATATATATATATATATATATATATATATATATATATATATATAAAACGATAATATATTATAATATATAATGATGTAGAGATGGTTGACCGTTGATATAATATGAGAAGGAGTTAGTCGGGGGTCCGGTCAAATAAATACTAAATTAAAATATAGTAATTATTTTTATTTTTTATTAAATTTATTATTATTTTAAATTTATTTATTATTATTTTATTTATTAAATTTATTTTATTTTTTATATTAAACGGCGGCAAAAAATAAAAATAATCACTATATTTACTATATTTTTTTTTCACGAGCAGGCCTTCCATGCGAATATCACGAGATCAGTGCTTCCTCTTCATCTGTCTCCTCTTCTCCCATATGCCCCTCATGAGCTCCGCATGCTTATGTTTTCTCTCCACAGACCACACAACACCCTTTTTGCAGCGCTTCTTTCCCGCAAGAACCCTTATTCCCTTGAGTGCCTTCCTGTACTCATCTCTGTCCAAACAATCTTGGTCTCTTAGCCCTACAAAATTTTATGGTTAAGTCTTTCAGGATTTATCCTCATCATATGGCCATAGAACCTCAGCCTTCCAACCATAGCGTCAGTTTCTTGATCTGTTGTTCCCTTATATATTTCTTCATTTGACCTCAACCTGTATCCTTTAGGTGTTCTCCTAGGTCCGTAGATTCTTCTGAGAATTCTTCTTTCTATTTTCGGAAGACTCTCTAGTCTGGAAAAACATAAAGTTTCTGTGCGTAGAGTACCACTGGCTTGACGACCGTGTTATAATGTCGTATCCTAGCTTTTAGATACAAGTTCTTCTTTTTATAAAGATCACTGGTGACGAAGCTTAATTTCTCTATTTTGGCGATTCTTTCCTTAAACCCTTCTCTCTCTGACCCATTGCTGCATATGATTTCTCCAAGGTATTTAAATCTCTAAGTTACTTTAATCGTTCCGTATTTGGTTTCAATTGTTTACTTCTTAAAATTCATGTCTGTGGTCATCAATTCCGTCTTCTCAAAAGATATCTGTAAGCCTTTTTTCCTCGCTATTTCCGAGAGGGTGTTTATTTGGGCAATCACCTCTTCTTCTGTTTCTGATAAAAGGGCAACGTTGTGACAAAAAAAATTTAAAAAAAAAGTAGTCTGAGCATCCGGCAAGTTTGTTGTGGAAACGATTTTTCCAAATTAAAGACCGTAACAACGTCGTCTGCGTATGCGAGGCATCCAATTTTGACGTTATTGTTCTTAGTCACTAGGGTTTTCTTTTTTTTTTTTTTTTTTTTTTTAATTAGTGTTGGCCCTGAGCACGTCAATCCCTAATGGGTCCATTGTGCACCAATTTCAGTTATTCACAATATTACTCAATTCTTCTTCGGTGCATACTATTTATTTTCAAGTTAATTCATTATTAGCCATATTTAAATCAATTTTTATTTATTTATTTATTTATTAATGATATTTACAACTGTATTACAAGTAAAAATACATTCAGTAAATGTGTACAATAGAATATAATAACATGAAATCATTTGGTGAGAAACTACCCACTGGTAGCACTCTAAAAATGTATTTACAAAAGGAGATCTCGAGGCCATCTTCTTTTCAGACGCCTCGGAGGGTTGTCAGGTATCGAAAAGGAAGCAAGGTTAGAAACGAGAGGGTTAGGATGGTTCTGAAGTTTATTATGGAAGGAAAGGTATCTGGATTGGGCCAGCTCAGAAACATAAGGAACATTAAGGTCGTTATGGCTGATTTTGTTTGTGACAAAGTAAGGAGCTGTGAGGATTTTACGAAGGATTTTGGATTGTAAGGATTGGATGCGAGAGGAATTCGATGGCTTAGTGGAGCCCCAGAGCTCAATTCCGTAAGTCCAAATAGGTCTTATTGTAGTCATGTATATGAGTCTTTTGTAATTGACTGGGAGCTTAGAGCGTTTGTCTAGTAAGTGCTGGAGTAGTCGGAAACGTCGAGCTGTTTCTTGTCGTTTCAGTCTGGTATGAGGATTCCAAGTTAGACGTCTGTCTAAGTGGAGTCCAAGGTATCGAATTTGTTCAACAGGGATAAGTGGGGTATTATTAAAGGATACTGTAGGACAAGAGGACATAGGTTTACGACGAAGGGTAAACGTGATTTGATGGGATTTATTGGAATTTATTTTGATCCTCCAGTTTTGAAACCATTCTTCAAGGTTTGTGATGTGTGATTGAAGGGTTTGGGATGCAATTGTTGGGTCGTTATTAATTGATAGGACACATGTATCATCGGCATACGTGGTAATAACAGTGTTAGGATGGGTTGGGATATCAGCTGTATAAACTGTGTAAAGGATAGGACCTAGGATACTACCTTGAGGAACACCAGCGGACTGGGAAAAAAGGGATGAATAGGCATTATTATGATTTACTTTGAAGGATCTATCAGTTAGATAGGAACGGATAATGAGGAAGTATGTAGGGTGTAGGAATTTACGGAGTTTGTAAAGCAGTCCTGGGTGCCAGACTCGATCAAAAGCCTGTTCTACATCGAGAAAGACTCCCGTGCAGTACATTCCGCGCTCCAATGCAGAGGAGACAACATCCACCACACGATGGCATTGCTGGATAGTGGAATGGGATCTGCGGAATCCAAATTGATGATCTGGGATAATGTGATTAGAATCTAGGATGGGGTGCAGGCGTTTTAGGATGAGCTTTTCCAGGATTTTGCCTAGGATGGGTAAAAGGGAGATAGGGCGATAAGAGGATGGGTTTTCTGGTGGCTTTTTGGGTTTATGTATCATTTTGATAATAGATAATTTCCAAGGGTTAGGAAAGTATGTGGTTCGCAGAACAGCATTATATATATACGTAAGGAATAGGATGGCTTTCCGAGGAAGCAGTTTTAGGATCTGGGATGTAATTAGGTCGTGTCCAGGAGCTTTTCGGGAAGGTAACCTTTGAATGATGTCGGATATTTCTGAAGGATGAAAGGCTTTAGGTGGAAGAGACATTTGGAGTGGGATATCCAGTTCTGCTTCAATACATTCAAGGTGATTTGGGTTATGAATATCAGGGTGTGGATTAAAGGTTTTAAAGAGGTGATGAGCAAAGATTTGTGATTTTTCTTCATCGGATTTGGACCAGGTTTGAGCTTCAGTAAGAAGTGGATGATTACAGTCTTTAAATTTCAGGAGCCTTTTAGTGGTCGTCCATAGTGATTTGTCGGTAGGTGTAAGTTTTTCAGTAAAGTTTAGTAAATTTTGAATCTTGTATTTTCTAATTTCAGATTTTAGTTTGTTAGTCAGTTGGGTATAGTGAGTTTTATCTGTTGGATATCTGGTTCTATGCCACTTCGATCTTGCTCTGCGTTTTTCCTTCAATAAGATACGAATATGCTGTGGCAAGTCAGTCTTTTGTGAATTGTTGAACTTATTGATAAAAGTGTTATTATTTATACTGTCTGTTATTGATGCTGTCAGTTTTTCAATGGCACCATTAATGTCCTCTTTTGTCTTTAGCGGAATTTTTAAGTCTAGTTTGTTTTCCAAATCTTCACGAAATTGGTCCCAGTTCACTCGTCCTGTGATCAATTTAGGAGGTGATGGTTTAGGAGCATAGCTCGAATGTAGTGAAAGTAGAACTGGACTATTGTCTGAAGAAAGGTCATCAAGGGATTTGATTATGGTTTGTGAGGAGGAGATCTGAGAAGTTATAAATATATCTAGGATATCGAGACGTTTTTTGAGGGATGTTGGCCAATAAGTAGGACTCATGGGCGAAAGGATTGAATAATTGTTGGAAGATGAAACACGTGATAGGATGTTACCGCGGGGGTTGGATGTTCGACAACCCCATCGTTGGTGTTTAGCATTGTAGTCCCCTCCAGCAATGAAGCGCGATCCGAGGGATTTGAATAAGGAATCAAGGAGGTTATAGGAGAGGGAATTACCAGGAGGACAGTATACAGCTGAGAATGTGAGATGGAAAGGGCGAGTTGAAAGGACTACGGAAGTTGATTGAATGGCATCAGTTGGAGTGGAAGGAATAAGGGAATGGGGTAATGATTTATGTATAAGGATGCAAGAACCGGCATGGGAGGTGTTGTCTGGGTGATCAGTTCTATAAGTGAAGTAGTCACGTATGTAGAAATGTATTCGTTTAGTGAAGTGAGTTTCAGTCAATAGAGCAATGTCAATGTGATTATTATGAAGAAATAAGTCAAGTTCGTCACGGTGGTTACTTAGTCCGTTAGCATTCCATAAAAGGATAGTTAGGGGCTTTGTGCTCATCGTTGGAAATTGAACGGAATTTCGGTCAGGATTCTGGTGAGAAGAGTGATAAGTGGTTTTATAGTATTTTGCAGGTCCAATAGGAAGGATGATAGAATGGAGGTTAGGTCGGATGGATGTTGATTGTGAATTGGATTCAGGATAGGTTCTTGTGGTGGATTAGGAGTGTTAGCT